CAGCAATGGGTTTACTTATAAGCCTCCAGGGAAGAAATGGGTGTATTATTCCTACGGTGTATTAAACACTTATGGATCTGGAGGGTATGCGTTTTACTTCTTTCCAGAACAGCAGATGTTTAATTCCACAGTGAGGCTCAAGGAACTGGAGGGAAAGAATTGGCTTGATGAGCTAACATGGGCTGTGATTGTGGAACTGACCACTCTGAATCCAGACACTAGTCTGATGTGCAGCATTTCGGTTGTATTCGAAGTCTCTCCCTTAGGGGTTGTCAACTCCAGCCTCTCTGTGTACTCCTTCTCGATGGCTGATTTCAACAGGAAAACTTCGGCAGAAATCTTCCTGTATGCTGCCATTCTTATTTTCTTTTGTGCCTATGTTGTGGACGAGGGCTACATCATCATGCAAGAGAGAGCTTCCTACATAAGAAGTGTGTACAACCTGCTCAACTTCTCTCTCAAGTGCATGTTTGCTCTCCTGATAGTGCTTTTCTTCTGGAAGCACCTCCTGGCCACCAAAATGGTCCGGCTTTACCTCACTGACCCTGAAGTCTTCATCCCCTTCCATGCTGTTTCTCGGCTTGATCACTTCATGAGGATCATCTTGGCTTTCCTGTTGTTTCTGACCATTCTGAAGACACTCAGGTATTCCAGGTTCTTCTATAATGTGCGCCTGGCTCAGAAAGCCATCCAGGCTGCCCTTCCTGGCATCTGCCACACAGCTTTGGTGGTGTCTATGTATTCCTTCATGTATGTAACTTTTGGGTACCTGGTGTTTGGTCAGCATGAATGGAATTACAGCAACATGATTCATGCCACCCAAACCATCTTCTCCTACTGTGTGTCAGCCTTTCAGAACACAGAATTTTCCGGCAATAAGGTTCTTGGGGTCCTGTATCTGTCGTCTTTCATGTTGTTGATGATTTGCATCTTCATCAACTTGTTTCAGGCAGTGATTCTGTCTGCCTATGATGAGATGAAGCAGCCCGTATACGAGGAGCCCTCTGATGAGGCCGAGGCTATAACCTATCTGTGCGACGGGCTAAAATCTGGGTTTGGCTTTCTCACCTCCCGATCTAGAGACAAAGACCAATCCGACTTCTTTGTCGACATGCTGTATGGGCAGCCGGAGAAGAATACTCGCCGGTTCCTGGGGCTGAAGGCCAGAAATATCAACGGGAAGAAAATGATTTACCTTGTTGTCTGATTGGTGATGGTCAGAAGGGCCACAAGCAAAGAGTGTCCCAAACATGACATACGTTTGTCAAGGGGACTAAAGAATGCCTGATGGCTCAATCATGTACACCCCCATATCTGAAGTATCCCTACTCTGGGCCCTGCTCTTGGGAACAAGAACATGTGAACAGAGAGGTGTATTGGGGGAGAGGATGGTAAGGTGGATTCTCTCTGGGTGGGATTCTGTGACTCTTGGTTCAGAGGCAGCTCTCCTCTTGTGGGAGCTTGCTGCAGTGTGGAAGACTGACAGCGGTTCATTTTGAGACCCAGCTTTAGGGGAAAGAGCTGGCAAGGTCCCATCATGAATTAAGCCACAGCCCAGCAGCCTCTAAACAGAAACAGATTGGTCAGCCTCCCTGGAAGTCTCCTCCGCAGACCATGCCTGTGAAGCATCAAGTCCTCCTGCAGGCCAGGGCTAGAGGGGTCCTGTGGGGAGGGGTCCAGAACTTGCTTCATAGTTTGAGAATGCCGATATGAGAGAGCAGGGGACAAGGACCTGAAGGGTCCCACTTAACTCCCTCAGGCCATGCATCACTAATGCACCTGGTGACACTGTATGACCAAGAGAACCACCTGCTGTCAACAAAGGTGCACAAAGGTCCATGTTGAAATACGGTACACATTCTATGCACTGAATATAACAATATGTCTGATGACTCTGGCATTTGGTTATTGTATTTATGACCTGATGGATTATTTAGGAGTAAGGAAATGTGGTTTACTGTTCAAGAAGGACAAGGGCTAACAGTTGTTACGTTGTTACTCAGAAGCGCACGTGGCTTTTTGTTGACGCCACTTTTAAGTTTTATATGAATTAAACTTGAGATTTCCTCTATGACCTGTGCAGTGATTTCTGTGTAAGGGATCAAGACATATCTGTGGCTACCTTCAAAGTTGAGGGCCAGAAAAGGAAAACACGCAGATGAGGCTGAGGCTGCATCACACTCACTTCAGCCTCCTCTGGTAACCCTTTTTTTTTTTTTTTTAAAAAAAAAGAGATTTATTTTTATTTGTTTGTTTTGAGACAGGGTTTCTCTTTGTGTATCCCTGGCTGTCCTGGGACCAGGCTGGCTTCGAACACTCAGAAATCTGCCTACCTCTGCCTATCAAATGCTGGGAACTATAGACATATACCACCATCACCACCACCTGGCTCTTTGATAGGCTTTTAGAACTCACCTGCATAACATTATATACTTTTTTTTTTTTAAACAGGACCTTACTATGTAGCTCTGGTTGGTTTGGAACTCACTATATAGATCATGGTAGCCTTGAACTCACAGGATCTGTCTGTCTCTGCTTCCCCAGTGCTTGCATCACCATATTCAGCTTTATTTTAAAAGTTAGTTCTCAGACAATTGCATTCAAGTATACAATATATCTCGAATCTCCACTCCTTCTGAATTTCCCCAACGCTTCCTCTTCCCATGTTCATGCCACCAACTCCTTCTCCATCTCCATCCAGAGTCTGTCCTAGAAGTATATGCATTTAGGACCACGACCAACTTACTAGTGGCCATGCCGCCAAAGAAATGACTCCTCCTTCCCCAATAGCCATCAGGCATCAATAATTCCTCCAGTAGGGTGGAGCCACATGAGTCCCTCCCCCACCCATGCTGTAATGTTACCTGGCTTGTAGGTTTGTATAAGTAACCACAGCTGCTGTGAACTCATGAGGCCAATGGCTAGGACATGTCCAGAGGACAGTCTTGCATACATGCCCCCACCTCTTCTTCTGAGATGTTGCTTGAGTCTCATTGCGGGTGGGGATGATAAGGATGTCCCGCTGAGAGATGAGCACTCAGTAGTCCAGTTGTTTTCTGTTGTACTGAACATTGCTAATGGCTTTGTTATAGAATCCCTCTTGCTGCTTACTCTCAAGTTCATGTGGCCCTTGCTTGGATCGGATACTAGTGGCTACTCAGAGATTCTGCCCCTCTTCCATATGAGGGTTTTATTCCATATTTGACACGGAGCTCGCCACTGTGTTGGAGATGTGGAGATGCATCTGGAAGAACACTAAGGCAACACCTTAAGGAATAAGGAGTGCATCTTGAGTGGGTGGAAAAACATTCCCAGAAGCTGTAAGACTGTTGAAAGAAAATCCTCCCAGAGGGGACTGGAGAAATGGCTCAGAGGTTAAGAGCACTGACTAGTCTTCCAGGGTTCCTGAGTTGAATTCCCAGCAACCACAAGGTGGCTCACAACCATCTATAATGGGATCTGATGCCCTCTTCTGGTGTGTCTGAAGACAGTGACAGTGTACTCACACAAACAAATCTAAAGGAAAGAAAGAAAGAAAGGAAGGAAGGAAGGAAGGAAGGAAGGAAGGAAGGAAGGAAGGAAGAAAGAAAGAAAGAAAGAAAGAAAGAAAGAAAGAAAGAAAGAAAGCAAAAGAAAATCCCACACCCTTAAAGGCAGGCTATGTTCCTATGAGTTGCTAGCCAAGGATATCCTTTAAGTCCCTGAAACTAGAAAGGCAATTTCCACTATTGCTGACTGCATGTCAAGATTAAATGAAAATGCTCATATATTGCAGAGTATGGAGAAATCAGGCTAAAACTGCTATGGGAGTCTAGGCTTCTGAGGGAGAAGTATTGCCAAGGATCCTGTTATGTATTCTATTGCGTTACTATGCCAGGCAAAGCATATTCTGCTGGTGCGATAGTGGAAAACCAGTATGGATGTACACAATACTGACTGGATTTGAGGCCTCACAGGAACCCATGTTTGGTATTATAAACCTACGCAAAAACTTGTGGCTGGTGGTCATAGGCTCCAGTGGGGACAGTATTGTTATTGTTTTGTTAAATAAATAGACATTCCTTCTAATTACTTGTATATCTTACCCACAGATTACTGCTGCTCTCAGCCTCGGGTGTGGAGGAAATTTCTTTTTGCAGTCTGTGGTAGTTACTGAGGAGACTCAAAACCAGTCAAATAACTGAATAAATGCCTATCCCTATGGCACAGCAGTTCAATGCCCAGCCATAAATGTAAGAAAATAATCAGACTTCTATGTAACTCCTTCCAAGGTTCAGGGAACATTAACCAGGAGAGGGTAAATAAGTCACAAAAAGGAGTGAAGTGTTATATGACGGAAATATTCCCTGCTGGAGGCCGATCAGGACGTATAAGAATCAGAAAGCTCACCAAACTTTTAAGAATATCCATAAAGCCCCTTTCCCAAAACAGTAAGCAACTGCTGCGGGAGACAGATGGAACTACTTCCAAGACGTGCAAAGTCCAGTGATAGCTCTTAAGTCATCGCTCCCCACTGGGTAGGTTTTTCAATGTTGCAGTTACCTGAGTCCCTTATCCCAGAAAATAATCCTATATAATTCACTGGTTCACTAGGCAAGATTTAGGTAGGATAGGATTTTTGTTTTGTTTGTCATCAGTACGTTTTTGTTTTTTATTTTTTTTCCTGAAGCCCAGACAGCTCTCAAGCCGCGATCCACAATCACTATAAGCTAGCAGCGGAAACGGAAGCGACCAGTAAAGCTCTACCCGGACAAGGACGCTCTTTAGGCTTATTTTGCTTACGGAGGTTGGGACCGGGTGGAGTTGCTTATTCGCAGTGAGGCAAACCCAGAAAAAGGGCAGTGAGACCGGGAACCCCGGCGGGCGATGGGGCGGGGCTGCACAAACTCCTTGGACCGAGGGCGGAGCCTTAGAGGATTTAGGGCGGCGCCGCGCAGGCGCAGTGAGGCGGGGCTAGTGCTGTGGGCGGGCCACGCAGGCGCTCTGGGGCCCTGGGCGGGGAGGCGGTGAGTGCGTCCGGTAGTGTGCTGCCGGAGCGCGCGTGGCGGGCTTGACCGAGTTCCCTCCATGCCCCGGCTCGCTGGGTCTGGCCTCGGTGCCTCTGGAAGCCAGGGTGAGGGGTGCGGGGCGGGGAGGCGTTAGATACCCGGCTCAGAGCGCGGGGAGGGCTTTGCGCGGGTGGCTTGGGCCGTGGAGTATACGGTCGCCAGGCGGAGCCCTGCTGACCTGGGGAGACTCTGAGCGGGAGGAGGAGGCCCTGGCGGAGATGCACTATCCTGGGACTGTCTCCTGACTGTCACCTGCTGCAAGGGCAGCGCGCCCAGCAGCCTCGGTGAAGGCCTGTGACGTGCGAATTAAGATACCACTAGCTATGTTCGCGCACACCCAAAATAGAATTTCAGTTTCAGACGTCATTCGGGACATCTGTCAGTTTCCAAGGCGCGCATATGCTCCTTCTGATTCCAAAGCTCGTTCTGTAGGACGAAAAGGGTTAGAGGAGGGCGCAGCTGGGGCCGGAGCTGCTGATGGGAACTTTGAAAGGCTAGTAGGAATTCCCATACAGCGCAATAAAAAAAAAAAAAAACTAAGAATCGCGTTTTCTCCAACTCTTCAGACAGCTGCTGTTGCCGCTAGACCACTGACCCAGTTATTTACGTAGAGGTGGGGGCCTCTAACACCTTGAATACAAGAGTGCCATCCAAACAGTTAAGAATGCAGCCACACAGAGTGAACTAGGATACACCTTCCCACCTCATCCTCCAGGTGAGATAATAGAAATAGCCAGCGTGGACTTTTCGCCAGTATACACTGGGTGCTGGTGGGTAAGACTGAGGGCAGAACTGAAGTCTTTAAACCTTTCCTGTAAACTGACCTGGGGAAGGCTGTGGTTGCTGCACAGATTTATCTGCCTGGATTTTCCAAGGGAACCAACGTTTCAGACTACTTGGGCAGGGCAGGAAAGTATGCTCTACTTACTTACGCAAGAGAAGATTCTTGCATCCAGTGAAGGGAAGTAGCAGGAGGCACATGAATCTGTCCTTAAATGGTGTCTGAGAGGCCAATACACCTAAGCACAAGTAAATGTGTAGCCAGTGTAGCAGAACCATGAATGCCAAACCTACCTCAGTTACTGGGTTGATTGAGCACCAAACAGCACAGGCCAAGCATACATGTCCACTATGTGTCCTAAATGCTTTTACCTTCACCACCTTACCTAGTTTATAACAGATTGAGACACAAGGAAGAGCAAAGAAATAGCATTGCTGCCAAGGATCAAAATAATCAATAGGCACAGAGCCACACACAGCGCAGATGTTAGATAGACCTATTGGAAGGGGGCATTTAAAGCAAGCCCAGTTGACACGTTAAACGTGCTAGAGGAGAAGATATATAGCGTGCATACACAGATGGGGATTTTAGCAGATAGAGAATTAGTGGAAAACAGAATGCTTTCAAGAGGCCTGTCAGCTGATGTGACTGAAGCCACTGAACTAGAAGATAGTCTATAGAAATGATCCACACTGGGGCTGGTGAGACGGGCTGGCAGGTAGAGGTGCCAGCTGCCTAGCCAGACCTGAGTTTCATCTCCAGATCCCACATGGTGAACTGACTCTACAATGATACTGTGGCACATTGCTTACCTATGCATAATCAGTCAATAAAGATACAGTTAAAAAAAATTCTGGCTGGGCAGTGGTGGTGCACGCCTTCAATCCCAGCACTTGAGAGGCAGAGGCAAGCGGATTTCTGAGTTCGAGGCCAGCCTGGTCTACAGAGTGAGTTCCAGGACAGCCAGGGTATACAGAGAAACCCTGTCTCGAAAAACCAAAACAAACAACAACAACAACAAAATTCTGCTGTCAAGATGGCTCAGGGGTTAAAGACATTGGCTGCCAAAGCTGATGACCCAAGATTAATCTAGATTGTAGAAGGCAAGAATTTCTGTAAGTTGTCCTCTGACCGATTCATAAAGTCTATGGATGGAGAACCCTCTCTCCAAACTGAATGTAAATAAAATATCCAGTTTAAGTAGGTGGGTATGTAAACCATATTCTTCTCAATTCACTGTAGCCCAGGCTAGGCACAGTCAGTTGTGTGCACTGAACAATGCTGTGTAACGTTGACCGGGTGTTCCTTTGAGCTCAAGCTTCCTAGTCAAGGAGGCTCACGTTTTGTGGGTGACATATGAACAGCAGGCAGAGAGAGTTTGAAGTGGGGTGGTTCTTTGCCTCCCATGGTGACACCCCTATCTCTTGGTCTTGCAGATGGCATCTGAGGCAGAGCCCCGCCCCCTGGGCATGTTCGAGTGTCAGCTTTGTGCTTTAAAAGCTCCTTACAGCTATGTTGGGCAGAAGCCCCCAGACACCCAGGCTATTGTGTGAGTATGCATCCCAGGCCAGTGCACAGGAGACCCTGTCCAGTGCTACTCGGCAGGTACCTTGTGGAGTGTGATACCTGGTTTGAGTGTTATACTTTAGATCAGTTCTTGCCCTTGTTATGAATGCCTCAGGCATATCCCAAGGAAGCCCCAGGCAAGGCTGGAAATCTTTTTTTAACTCTTCAAGGACTCTCTGCCTTCCCTGTGGCTGCAGCTGAGAGTCAGGGACTTGTTCTGTCTATGAGGTGGAAGAAAGCCTTGTGGCCTAGGCCAGACAGCCGTGGAGGAGTTTGGTGGCTTTTTCATGTAGGGCTGTGTCCTATGTTGTCCCAGCTGGTGATACTTCTGAGCTGGGTGGGTACCCAGTGGTTCCTAAGGACCAATTCCCCAAGGGTCTGATTGATACAGGTTGGGAGCAGAGATGGTTCCAAGCTTGTTTATTGGACTGTGGCTTAGCCTTCATGAAGCATCACGTTAGAAAACTGTCTGGTCCTGGACTCAAGACACAGCAGCAGGGGACCAGGCTCAACTCCTTTGCTTCCCTGGATTGTGCCACTCAGTTGCTGTCATGCTGATGTGTGTGGGACAAAGAAGACTGACCTCGTGAGGCCACCTAGTGAATCCTGATTGCTCTGGGGTTGACTGAGAGACTCCCTCTGAAACCTTGCAGAGCTAAGGCTGGGTCACATTTCAGTTCCTACCTCTCCTCCAGGCGCCAGCCTTCCTGCCATTACCGTTCTGTACAGATAAACTAGTTTGCGTTGGTTGAGGCTCCCCACCATGGCTCACAACTGAGTGTTCCTTCTCCCTACAGCCTCCTGGAGGAGAGCTACATCATGAAGGATCCCTTCTCCTCAGACAAGGCCAGGTTTCTGGTCCTCGGCTCTCGGTGCAGTGTGTGCGGCAGGCTGGTGTGTGTGGGCCCGGTGGGTACACCTGGGGACTTCTTGATTTCTGCCCCACAGATCTGGGAACCCCCTGATCACCAGGTGGAGAGGAGGTGGGGGTTCTTAGATGACCTTCTTTGGGACACAAACACAAAGGGAAGGGGCCAGTGAGGGCAGCTAGAGGGGACCCAGCCTGGGGTGAGTAAAGAGACTTTAAGCAGTTGAGCCTTGGAGTAGTCCAGGGCTTTGAGAACTCCTGAGCACCCGCTGCAGGTACAGTGCATACAAGTGGGGCTTACCACAGGTCATGTCCAAGAGCTGTTACTTCTCTCTGCTGTCTGGCTGATGTACGTGATGGCAGGAGCCTCAGGTCCCTCCAGCCGGAGGGAAAACTGTGGAGGGAGTGTTTGAGGTCAACAGGAAAGATGGGTGGCCTGAGGCCAGCCTCTGAAGGGCCTCAAGTGCTACTCCTTGGATTTGGGCTGTAGTTGGCAAGCAGAAGTAGTAGCGGCTGTCCCAAGAATAATAGGCATCTTCCCCTTTCTTGGATTAAACAATACATTGTTAAGTGATATTATCTTCATTGCAAGGGGTTGCTTCTCAGAACTTCAGGTGGGATGGCTACCCTGCCAGCCCTTGGTGCTCCTTCCTGGCTCAGGTTGCTGCTGCCTCCCCCTGCACCTCATGGGGGATTTGCCTGGGAGAGACATTGCTGAATGCCCCGATGTTCCAGCCCTCTTCTCTCCCTCACAGGACTGCAGCCTGTTCTACTCCAAGAGGGTCTGCCTTCCCTGTGTTCAGGAGAACATTGGTGCTTTCCCTCAGGAAATCCAGCGGGATGTGGAGAAGAGAAAGGCTGCTAGCAAGAGGCATTCCAGCCATCCCTGACTGGCAGGGGCACCGCCTCCTGTGAAGCATTGGGCTGGGCTCGGCCAGGATTCCGGCTGGGAGCTGTGGATCTGGTCTTCTCTGAACTGTGTGGAGTACCTCCAGCCTCAGGAGCTGAGGAACTGGCCAAGACTGAGGATAGACAGCAGGGGTGAATCCAACTAACACATCAGGCCTGGCCTCTATTGGACACCAGGAACGAGGGAGAGGGACCTCCTTCACTTGACAGCTGGTAGACACTTCCTGCAGATGGACATGTGGGGAGACACCTGGCTTCTCTCCAGGACTTCCAAACAGCATGATGTCATCTGTCTAGGGAAATCAGCCTCTGAGGGCCAGAGAGTATGCGAGGGTTACATCACATCCTCTGTAACACCTCGGTTATGATTTAAACCTTGACTCTGTATCATATTTATAATTAAAAATCTGAAGGATAAACTCATGGCTTGAGTAACCTTTTCAATGACACTTGGAGGCTCACTGCATTCCCCACTGGGGCTAGTGCGTGGGGCATGGTCTGTGCAAACTGTCCAAATCCCAACATCATTCAAAATGAACCAACTAATTTTTAAAAATACTTTATTTCTTTTAAAACCATTAAGGCAAAACTGAACCCTGAAATTAACTCTTTACATTCATCAGCTTACAGTAGGACATTCCAAACATACAGGTTCCCATAAATTCAGGATATAAATCAACGTGTACAGTCAGTTCAGTCTCCTATGGAGAAAACAAAGACTCGATTTTTTTTTTTTTTTTTTTAGAATCAAGATTAAGTTATAGCCATTTTTAATTGCCTGGTACCAATTAGTTCATGTGACTAGAAAATTCTATTTGCCCTTCTGTGTTCACCCTGATTCCTGATGTCCTGGATAGCCCTGTATCCACAACAAGCTGGAGGGGGATGTGGGGGATGCTGATACCGGCTCAATAATTCCTATTCAGGCCTGTTACCACAGCAATGAAGGGCTGCAAGCCCCCAGGTCTGAAAGGATGGCACCAAGGACAGTAGTGAGCAGGTGGCAAGGAAGCAGGCCTCAGACCTTGCTTTGGAAATGTGCATGTCCTCGTGTGTGTCTGTAAGACCCCATCCCCTTAGGTTCCAGTGTGATGACATTGTGGTTCTTGTAGGGAGTTATGAAGACACACTGAGAAGAAATGTGGCCAGGACATTGGAAATGACATGAAGACTCAAGGGAACAGCTCAAATTGCCATAGTTCTTTGGTAATAATTCACAGGTAACGATTCTCTAAAGAGTGGAGAGCTGTTAACCCAACAGGCCTGCTCAGTGGCCTTGATAGAAACACTGATGTAAAGTCGGTGATTTCCAGCCAGGGTTCAGCAAAGTCTGGTTGGCAGAGACAGATACAAACAGATTGGCCCGCACTTTAAAAGAGCAGTGACTGAAGGAGCAGATTCACACATTGGGAAGAGACAGTGCACAGTGAGGGGGCAGTGACAAGTGCAGGGTGCACACCACTGGGCATCCGTCTGCAGTTGTTTATTTGGGCTTCCGCTGTGCCCATCAGGTTCAAGAGCTAGGCTTTGAACATACAGTGTACTGAACCCTGACTTAGAGGATTCCAGGTATTGGTGATTAGACACACGGCCACAAGCTAGTCAACTAGTTGTATCAGGGTGTTAAACAACAACAACAACAACAACAGAAATCACAGTATTTAAGATATAGCGCCAGGCAGTGGTGGCACAGGCCTTTAATCCCAGGACTTGGGAGGCAGAGGCAGGCGGATTTTTGAGTTTGAGGCCAGCCTGGTCTACAGAGTGAGTTCTAGGACAGCCAGGGCTAAACAAAAAAACTCTGTCTTGACCCCCCTTCCCCCCCAAATATAGCTATGAAGATCATTCTTTTTCATTCAGTGCAGAAAACATCGTGACACTTAACATGGATAATACTGATGTCTTCCTAGGAAGGGTGCCATGTGGCATTCATACGCTTTGAGGTACACTTAGTTTCAGGTTTGACAAAAGAGCTGGCTGTACGCTCCTTTTTTTTTTTAATGAAATTTCCCAAAGTGACGATTTTACCAGGAGTTTATCACTCCCTAGTCTTCAGGGCCTGAATTCAGGCTCTGTGTGTGACTTGAAGCACAGCTGAGTCCCAGGGGCCTGGGAAAGATGCCCCAGTGCCCCATGCCGGCCAGGGAGCCCAGAGGGCCACCTGCCGCTGCTCTGCCCTCACCTGTGGCCCAAGAATGAAGCATCTGTCTTCACCGAATAAATGAATTTGCAGCTGGGTTTGGGTTGGGGGAAGAGGTGATCTTGGAGAGCAATATTTCTCCCTCTTTACAGAGAACTGCCAGGTTTTCATATGTGACCCCAACTGGCAAACTTTTAAATAAAAAAAAGATACAGAAACAGCCTGGTGGCTATGACATACAACAATGCTCCTCCTTGCCTTTTGCCAACAGTAGCACCTGACCGCCACTTGACATGACACATATGACATATGTCATGTGCTGTCAGCTGCTTGGCCAAGACATGATGCTGAGCCTGGGCACAGTTTGGTCCACTTCTGATTGGCATAGGAATCTCCAAAAGGTGCTCCTTGTGATGTAACCACCCTCCCTGACTGAAGTCCCCTTTTGAGGAGAAAAGCAATGGACTCCATCTCAGACTAAGATTCTGAGAAGTAGATGGCTGAGGTCTGATGTTGAGGAAATGTCCTCAGGGGTCCCAGGCTGGTGCTAGGCCAGGTAGCATCAGCCTCTTACACTCTGTCCTGATTAGGGACCACACACCTTTTCCTGATGAGGCGACAGACCACTCCACCAAAGGAAACCTAGAGACACCAACACATTCCTCAGAGGAGTCTCAGTGAGGAATGCAATCCACTTATTTAAACCAGAACCTGTCCATGCAGATTTTAGTGTTTTTAGATAAGGACAAAGGCCATCTCTGGCTATTAGGCTGTTGCTCTAATATTCTTAACCTACTCTGGTCTTATAAATACAAATGGTCTCAGCCATACAAATGTGGACTGGGGACAGAGTGGTACCTGGTGGCTCAGCAGGAAACCAACATGGCCGTCAGGCTGGTGGTATATATTTGAAGATGGGTTTAAGTCCTGTTCTCCTACTCTATATGCTGGGTGAGCAGTTGCAGGGAGTTGTTACATTTTCCCCAGTGGAACCTCATCTTGAAAGGCCAAACAGGTTAAAGAGAGATACAGTGAAGGTGGCAGGCTTTTTGGCTATAGGAGGCCCTGGGGCCAAAGGCTGGTTAATCTCAGGAGACAACAGGAAAACTTTAAACTGGAGTTCAGCAAGTCATTTTCAAACCAAAGATGCAGGACAAAAATCCCCTTCCTCCATGCGTCTGGCTGCTGAGTGTTCAACGTGTCCCAGTGTTTTAGACAAAGGCTCAAGGTGAGACATATTTAGAATCAGATGCAAGCTGAGTGTAGAGGAACCCAAGGGCCATGTTTTTCTGAAGGTCTGTTTCAAGCAATCTTTTCTGGGGGAGGGCCTATAAGACCAGCAGAAAGAGGTGTCGTGGAGGGAGGGGCCAGCGTGGCCCCTACAGACAGGACCATACGGGAGGTCATCATAGACCTTAGTCCAGTCAATGACTACATTTTGCACATGTGCATCTTTAAAGCTCCCTTAATCAGCGAACATGTCTTCACTAGGTCACGCAGCCTCTTGAAGACATCAGGAGGCAGGGAGGAGAGACACCACAGCTGCTTGGTCCCCATCCATCTCCAAGGAGTCTGGCACTAAGACTTTACCATCAGTGCTGGGAAATGGCTCTGCAACCCTGCTCTAGAGCTCCAGGAGCCGAGGTGGCATCCCTGATTGGGCTGTTGGCTGATGCCATTGACACACCTTGCAGACCATTGCTGCCCACTTTCTCAGTTCCTAAGTGTGCCACAGTATTTAACCTGGCATGTCTTGGGTTACTGATGCCTTGAGAAATCTGGCTAGGTGACCTGAAAGAGCCTAGCACCATGTGGTCACATTGTGAATATCCTTCCCATAATGGGTGTGTGTGTGTGTGCACAAAGTCAGTGACTTTGGAGCCAAGGCCACTGTGGTCCCTCCTGGCTGCTCTGGTGATAGCTCACTGGCAGTCCCACCAGGCTCCCGGAGTATGAAACTTTCAAGAAGACAACTGAGTTCCAGCTCAGATGCAGACTGACACGGAACTTGTCAGTCAGTTCTGTGGTCCGTACTGAAAGCATACAGCAAGGTGCTACTCTTCATAAGTTTTATGAGTTCAAACAGGACGCTCGACTACCCCAAAAGCCCACGACTCAAAACTCACTTTCTAAGGTCACCTACACTGGAGTGGCATTTGTGTAAGGTTCATTAGAACAGAAGCCTGTCCTCATAGGGGACCTGTCCACAGAAGAGACTTGGCACTGGAATCCACCCTTTGACCCAAACCTAGGACCAGTTCTAGCCCCTCTGGAAGCACTGAGGACTAGATGTGCCATGTGACACAAAGGCTGGCTTCTTTCTGACTGAGCTCAACCCTCACAGGGATCATATATGAAAGTGATTTGCTCTGCCTCTGACTCCTAAGAGCCTTGGCAGACCGCCTGCAGCAACTGCTGTCCACCAGAGCCGTTGATTGGCAGCAAGGAGGGAAGACAAAGGGGGTAAGTGGGTTTGAGGAAGGACAGAAGACAGGGAGGATGGGGAGAAGGAGAGCAGGAGGGAGGAAGGAAGGAGGTCAGTAATGGTGCAAGTCTTAAATCATGTCTCGATGCTAAGTTTCCTCTTTCCCTTATTATTATTCTTTCTAGTGTTTTCATAATGTTGACCTTGAACATTTTATCAGCAGCAATCTTTTTCTTCTTTAAACAGGGTCTCACACAGCACAGACTGCCATCAAACTTAATTCTGTATCTGAAGGCAACCTCTGACTTTTGCTGAGGTTGTGGGCATTGACCACCATGGCCATAAAGCAACACCAGGGACCAAGCCCTCTACCCACTGAGCTACGTCCTCGACTCCTTGGCAGTGTCTGTCTGGATCACCCTTTAATAACAAACAGTGATGACATCAGAAGAGAGTCAAGTTTTCTAAAGATGGGTCAGGATCGGATACAACCCGATCTGAAATACGCAGCCACCCCCTTGGAGGGCAGGTGCTGGCAGGTCCATGAGGTCTGAGAATCCTTTGTGCAACTGTTTCTCTTGAAGATAGCCAGCACTGCTCTCCCAGTGGGACTGAGGAAAAGGGACTTTACCACCTAATTCTTTGAAACAACAACAACGATAACAACAACAATAACAACAGACCAACCAAGTGTCGTGAGATCTTCAGCTGAGTACAAACAGAAGCTGAATTAAATCACACCCTTCTCTCTTGTTCTCCAGGGTGACCAGCTCCCTTCAGCCTGGGTAGTGAAGTGACTTTTGCCTTCTCCACTCCAGAGAGAGAAAGAGAGCATCTCATCACCAAGAGAGGTTTTTTTTTTTTTTTTTTTAAAGTAAAGTGTCATATCAAAGGAACTGCCAAAGGGAGGGTCTAGAGGAACATATACAAATCTTTTGTGCATCTACCCCTGATATTGCTGCCTTGCCCACACGCTGAGCGTCTGACGTGAGCAAAGCTGCAGAACTAGTCACCCAGGGCTCATCCTGTCTTTGTCTCTCAGACACTAGCTAAAGCCTCCTGAGGCGTCTTGAGATGTAACTTTCTGGGAATCTTCTACACAATTCTGAAAATGTTTTTCACCCCCACGAGTCAGTTACACCCTCCAGAACAGTGAGACCACAGAGAAAATGATGGGATAGCTTATCAAACTATTCTTGAATGTTCTCAGAAGCCAGCTCTTTTTCTTAGAGCCAGGAAACACAAGTGAAGTCTTCCCAATAAACATTATTTTTTTTTTTTTTGGCCACGTTTAAGTGGCTAACTTTGGGTCACACCTTGACTTGTAGCTTTTTAAAGGTTAAAAAGTGCAGATTAGTTTTCAGGATTTATAAGAATGCAGCACACAGCCAGAAGGACGGCAGGAAGGGAATAGACCACTCGGACTTTGAGGTTACCCGTTAATTAATGACGAATTATAAACGCAACGTAGGGTGCTGTGCAATGATTAACATTGGGCCAGTTAAGATCAGACTGGAGACTGCCATTGTCTGTAATTGTCTGAATCCTATTAGCCTCTGATCACCCCCATTTTGGTAGCAGGTAGTCTTAGAAGTGCCCATTCAGAAAGTAAGGACATGACGTGGGAAGAGCCTGCATTACCTAGGCTCAGCCCTCTTCATCCCCAAGGGTTGGAGGGAGGCCATCTGTGCAAATCCCTGCTCTCCTGTATGGAGTCGCAGACTTCAGAGGTCCCTGAACAGTGGCAACGGCCTGTCATCTCAGGAGAAATCAGTACATGTCTCTGTAGATCTCTTGCAACAGTGGGTGCAGTGCTGCGTCTGCCTCAGTCTTCTTGATGACCTGCACGAGCTGCGCATGCTCCGTGACCAGCTGCCGAAGGTCCACCATTTTTTGAAGGAGTTTTGGGAAGAGAAAGGTATCATCCGGGTGGTTGCTCTGCAGGTGGAGCTTGAGCACGTGCACAATCCCCTCCTGCAACTTCTCAATGTAGCCTATGTTTAGAAGGCCAGGCCGATCTACGCTCAAAAGAAGAAAGAGACGTCTGAGTGTGGCCATGTGAGAGGCCCCGGTCAGTGGAGGGGCCAAGTGTCGATGCTTGGTGTGGCCCTGCTGAGAAGGCACCATGGCAGCCAGACCAGAGGTCACCACCTCTGATGGGTACAGACATGACTGACGCTCCTAGCAATTCACCGGACCAGCCCATAGTCCTACCCCACTCCCCCTTATGGTGTAGCCCCTACTTTTGGATTTGCCTGACACTCCCCAGACCACACATCTTTGTAGAAAACAGAGTGCTTCTTCCTATGTGAAAGTTGTGTATTCAGCTTCCCAGCAGCAGCTAAGGGGTGTGATAAGATTAACAAGATTTTTTTCTTTTTTTTCATATTTATTTATTTATTTATTTATTTTTATTTTATTTTATTTTATTTTATTTTTTGAGACAGAGTTTCTCTGTGTAACCCTGGCTATCTTGAAACTCCATCTGTACACCAGGTTGGCCTCGAACTCAAAGAGATCTGCCTGACTCTGCCTCCTGAGTCCTGGGATTAAAGGGGGATTAAAGGTGTGTGCCACCACTGTCCTAGGCTTTGTCTTAAAGCAACATTATTGATGCCTTTTGATAAGGCCCAGGTGGAAAGCAGACAGAGAAATGGCCAGGGCTGGACAGTATACCAAGGAGCCTCTGGAGTCCAGAGAGGACATAACAGGAAGTAACACTGCTCACACTGGTGGCCTTCCTGGTATAGTCTCAGGTTCCTGTCTATCCATCCACCCATCCATCCATCCATCCATCCATCCATCCATCCATCCACCCATCCATCCACCTACCCACCCATCCACCCATCCATCCATCCACCCATCCATCCACCCATCCATCCACCCATCCATCCATCTATCCATCCACCTACCCATCCATCCATCCATCCATCCATCCACCCATCCATCCATTCACCCACCCACCCATCCATCCATCCACCCATCCATCCACCCACCCACCCACCCATCTATCCATCCATCCACCCACCCA